AGCAGCACAAACTGAACTATTAAGGTTATCTTCAGGTCATTTTTATTGGCAGGTCAGACCTTATTTTAACATTATAACATGAGAAGTTGAGGTCATGTCATCTTCAGCGCACTGAATCTGTAAAAGTGGGCCTGGGTAGCGGGCCGTTAAGTTGTGGAGCCTTGTCTTCCAGCTGCAGCAGGTCAAGTGGTTACCTTAGCAACCTGTAACCTAGCAACCTGCATAGCCTGGGTAGCGGGCCGTTAAGTTGGGGAGCCTTGTCTTCCAGCAGCAGTAGGTCACGTGGTTACCTTGATAATAAGGCTAAAAATATATTTACAGATCATCAACCAACTGTTAACTTGCTCTTAGCAACCTGTACCCTACCAACCTATACCATAATAATCTATACCCTAGTAACCTATACCCTAGCAACTGGCACCCTAGCAACCAGTTGTAAGGTAGGGTTGTAACCAGTTGTTGCAACCAGTTGTAAGGTAGGGCCCTAGGGCCCTAGGGGTCGAGTTATTAACCCGAACAAATTTCATCAAACAGTCCGTTAGGGTCGAGTATTTCTTTAGGCTTTTAGAACAGTTTTTACTGATATAATTATATTTACATTAAATAATAGTCGATTTAAAGATTTAAACTTTTAAAGAGTGTAAGACCCGGCGGTCAGGTGGAAGACTACCGTAATCTACAATGGTGGACCAAACTGTACTTAGATAAACCTAGGGTGGAGTGCTTATTTTAGGCTCCACAAGAGCGCTCCTACAACTCTTGAAACATGATTATGCCTGGCTAGCCGGAGTAACGAGTTCGACTTACCTACATCATGTCCTCCTTCAGGTCCACCAGGGTCCCGAGTTCGTAACGTCCCACTAATATAGTGGTACCCAACCACGGATACTCGGGAGCATTATTCCCGCAAGTGGCGGGAAGGAACTTAGTAATTTCAATCACAATTATAGCTCAGGATATTTCCTGGCTGGTGACTCAATAGTCACATACTTCAGTTTAGAGACTAGTAACATACGCCTATTTAAGGGGGCCGGAATAGAACTTCCGACATCAAGGTAATTAGAAGTAAACATACAATAGTCTTCAATAGAATATTTAACACGTAACCTATTAGCCCGTCCTAGGAGTACTCACCTCAGTATAGGAAAGGAGTTAGTTACAGGAAAGGAGTTCCGATGGGTTGGACTCTAGATATGTGATGATCTCCGCTGTTCACGATGATATGTCGTCAGTGCTCCTCCAAGAGTAGTATTCCATCCTGTCGTAAGAGAGTCCGTTGTGGAGAGAACCCAGGTTGGTGAGGACTGGAGAGCGAGAGAGAGCCCCAACTAAGTATTGTGCCGTATATTTATATCCTCCTCGTTAGGAGGTCGTTAATGAGAATTGTGTTATCTTGATTACTTCTCGATTGACTAACTCCGTTTAACGACCGTGAGGGGTTCCTTATTAGAGCGCTATCTTAACTTAGCTTGATTAGTTATGATTGACTGCGCTCGCTTCAGCTTTGTGATTGCTCCAAAACGCTATCTTGGTTGTCACTTTTATCTTGGTCCTGACACTGACGTGGGTTCACCAACTATCGTTGGCTGAAGTCAATTAACTCCGATAATCTAAAGAATTAATATCCAAGAGGCATTACACACAGGTAACTGAACACATACTGGTATGCTGAATACACACCGATATGCTGAACCATCGGAGGTTCTTACAAAGAGCCCATTAAAACTTTAGGCTTACTTTTAGTATAGACTGTAGGTTTATCGGTGATTTAAGTGAGGAGGCAAGTATCTAGATATTTGTCTAGTTCACACGTGTGAAGTTCACGAACAACCAAATTTTTGAGACACACTATTCACATCGGGACATATTTCTCGATTCATTCATTTTAATGAGGCTAGACCTGAACCTAGCAACCTGCACCCTAACAACCTGCACCCTAGCAATCTGCACCCTAGTAACCAGCACCTTAACAACCAGCACCCTAACAACGAGCACCCTAGCAACCTGCACCCTAACAACCAGCACCCTAGTAACCAGCACCTTAACAACGAGCACCCTAACAACGAGCACCTTAACAACCTGCACCTTAACAACCTGCACCCTAGCAATCTGAACCCTAGTAACCAGCACCTTAACAACCAGCACCCTAACAACCAGCACCCTAGTAACCAGCACCTTAACAACCTGCACCCTAGTAACCAGCACCCTAGTAACCAGCACCTTAACAACCTGCACCCTATTAACCTGCACCCTAACAATCTGCACCCTAGTAACCAGCACCTTAACAATCTGCACCCTAACAACCAGCACCCTAGTAACCAGCACCCTAGCAACCAGCACTCTAGTAACCAGCACCCTAGTAACCAGCACCTTAACAACCAGCACCCTAACAACCAGCACCTTAACAACCAGCACCTTAACAACCTGCACCCTAACAATCTGCACCCTAGTAACCAGCACCCTAACCACCTGCACCCTAGCAACTTGCACCCTAGCAACCTGCAACCTGGTAACCAGCACCCTAACAACCTGTACCCAAGCAACATTTGTAGCAACCCGCCCCTGACCGCATGATCATTAAAAAATGCGGGCATGCAAATAAAGTGAGAAAATGAGGTTGCTGCCTAATGCTCGGCTTGTTAAACTGTTAAAAGTATGTTTCACTTTGTCCAAATCTTTCACTTTGTCCAAATCATCAATGCTCGGCCACCTTTCCAGATCAGAAGCTGGAACAGCCAGTCACTAATCAGCCCATCTGAAAACATGTTAAGGCATAATCCTGCATTTTCAGCAGTTTTTCCAAAACATTTCCTCGCTACACCAGGCTAAGTGTTTCCCTGAAAACTTCCACTAAAAGTAGGTTTTGTTTCTCGCTTTTGGCCGGGTATATCAATCTGCAGTACTGTTGACGAGCAGGTCACCAGCAAGTACAGATCTCGTCACAACCAGTTGAAGAGTGAAGATATCGTGACTTGCAACTCAGCTCGCTATAAACGACTCATCTCATTCCCATTTCTATTCTCGTTTGTTCGTTCTCGCCATTTCCTTGAAATATTCTGGTGGCGTCCACGGTCGTGCAGCTTTACAAACCCTGCTGGACAAGTATAGTACGTTATCATTAACCCGTACCTAATTTCTGATTATATATCTTGAAATAGATCGAAACGCCTGATAAAACGTACCCGTCTGCAAATGTAAAATTAGCCGGAAACCCGTTGATTTCCCATGAGCTGCTCGATTAATCGCGGCTATGTAATAATACGCACGAATTCAATTAACCTTACTAATCACCAACCCTTGATCGATCACGTGACAATGTTTAGTTTGATCAAGCACCCTCCGACTATTGCGAAATAAGTTCGTCTGGTGTTAACCTGTGAGGATCATTCCTTTGAATTCATTTCCATATTTTTGTTTAATTTTTGTTAGTTTTTTTGGGTGAGTGACATGATATTTTTAATTTGGACTTTTAATAGTATTTCGTTGCCAGCTGATTGAATTACTCCAATCATTGTTGTCTAGGCGACGAGTTGTCACGTGCACACGGCTCGACCAATCAGGAGGGGTTATCCTCTCAATTAACCAATCGAGGCTTAGTGTGCCTACTTATAACTAGCCCGTTTAACTTTTTATACCTCTTCTATTTTGTTTGCTCAGTCGATAAAATTACATTGTTTTTGAGTTGCATTATATAGTTAGAGTATAATTTGTTAATTTATAGTATTGTTACCATAGCAACACACTTGTTACCATAGCAACACACTTGTTTGACATGCAGAGCGCCTGGCTGACACCATAAGCTTACCAATACAGAAATACTGCAACTTAATCGACCACATCATCCTAATATTATAACAGGTTTGTAACGATTTGATTACCTTATTACTCATATGAATCATAGTAACAATCGTGAATAATCATATTTGTTTTTAATAGCAGAGACTAAAAAATAATTGTCCACACTTCAGCTTGAAAAAATTAATTGTAAATTTCTCCATTTTTTCAGTCACACATTGTACATGTTACTATATTCAAATTTAAAAACTAGTAAATCATAACCACTTGATAATTCTCCAAAAAACATAAATAAACAGAAGTCTGGAAAACATGGTAAACACTCTGTAAATTTGGACCGAACTTTCTAGACCACCCTTCAGGATTCATTATCCGGCTACTATAATCTACGGTTAATAAAACACGGCCGTTCTTGATAAGGTCTAACGACATGGAAATAGCTTGAAAGTCTAGTTCTCTGATGAGTCCGAACCCATTTTTACAGGTCATAAAACTGGTTCTACGTGCAACAGTTATTAATGTTTAGTTTGATGAAGGAGTTATTAACGGAAATTTAGTGTCGGTAAAACAAGAACTGTCACGTTGAACCCAGGAAATAAGGGAATGTAACCAGGTAACCAGGTGAAATGAGGTTATTACCAGTCGATACTCTGAAGTGGGTGTGAGGCGAAGGCGATTATCTCAAATCGATACGTATCACTTATGTACAGTGGTTCTTTACCGTATTCTCCCGCATATATCCTCCCTCTTCCTAACTCACAGAGTTTAGAATTTAGATTAATCAACAATTATCTACTATAATTTTAAAAGGAGAAGGATTACCGGGTATGATAATACCTTATACAACGAAAATCTAATGGGATGGTTCCGTCTTTTCAAATCACGAATTACCGTTTTATAATTATTTCGGGATATTGTTAGATAAACTTGCGGGATAGTGTTTAATTAGACATATGTCGACACTAATCACATGGCAGATCCTTTTGGCAACTCGAGAGATCTGTTTGGGCTTTGTTTCAATCGTGGAGTGGCTGCAAAAATACACACCACCTAGGTAAGCAGGATTTATTTTATTTTATATTAAACTATGATAAAAATAATTATTTTATTTTATATTAAACTATGATAAAAATAAATGCAAAAGTATTTATCGGTAATTAACCATTATTTTAATCTAAATTATCATATAAAAAACAACAGTAAAATCACAAGACATCTGCTCGTGGTATGTTAGCACTCCTTTTCTTCTCCATCCTGCGTCTGTTCTGGAACCAAACAGAAATAGTCTCCTCCTTGAGTCCCGTCTCCTCCGACAACAGTCTCCTCCTACTCTTAGTCAGGTACACAGTCTCTGAGAACACCAGTTGTAGAGTGCCCTTCTGTTCGGAGGTCAGGTTGGTGCGTGTTCTGATCTGGTCAGCTGATTGGGTTTGTCTCCGGGGGAGGGAGGTTTGTCTCCGGGAGAGAGAGGTGGGTGTTGTGATTCTGTGAGGGCAGGAAGGAGAGTTGCAGGTAGTGGCAGTACACACGTGGGGAGTGGAGTCCGGTTTAGTAGAGGAAGGCTGGGTTACGACAGCAGAGCGAGGTTTTCTAACGGGTCTTGTTGAGGGAGTAACCGGAGTGGAGAAACTGAGAGGTTGGAGAGTGAGGTTGGTTAGGTGAGGTTGGTCACGAACCAGGTTAGTAGGAAGGGAGGAGATGTATTCAGAGAACTGTATCTGCTGTTGCATCTGCTTCAGGAGTAGCAGCTGATGCTCTAGAGGAGTGAGGGACTCCTTCCTGTTAGGAGACGGAGGAGGAGTCAGGGAGTAGGGTCTGTAACGAGCAGAGGGGCGAGCAGGGGTCCGCTTCTTGTGAGGGGCCAGGAGGGACTCTATACTGTGCTTTAGAGGCTGAGGTGTGAGGGGAGAAGAGGGGATCGTTAAGATGGGTGTAACGAAAATAGGAGTTGCACAATCCAAATTAGACATATTTAGTTCGTTAGTTGGGGTAATTGAGCTAGACAAGTAAACAATGATAAGAGATTTTGGGTGAGTAGGATTATATACAGAGTTCGATGTGACTCGAGATCATGGTTGGGTGCAACTTACATGCTCTCTGATAACGGATCACATGATGATGCTTGTGGGGGACCGGAATGATATGTGATCCGAGCTGTTTGTACTTTAGTAGGTAAACACCGTGATATGATCCTCTGAGACGTGATCTTAATCCACCCCATAGGTGGGGTAAACGTACTCCACAACTGTGAAATGATCTGGTTAATCCACCCTTTGAGACATGATCTTCTTAATGCTTTGATGCCTATCCACTCTTTGAGACGCCATCCGGCGATTTTCATAATGATAATGTACTCTCCATAATGCCAGTTCGTGATATTTGCTGCGTACATTGGCTGTCACAAGCCTCCAATAAATAAAATGCCCATGGTTTTATAGTTTAGCTTGTGTGTCTTGCCAAGAGACTGTACAGTCAAAATCCAGACTAGATTAACTAACGGTTTGGACAATGGGCGGGCCATCTAATTTAACCAATAACAGTTAACATATCTAATTTATCTAATCTATTTTAATCGGCGTCCTTCTAAAACTGTGTGTCTGTTGACTTTATTGCCGAAAATGACAATTGTGGTAAAAGAAGAGCGTGCATTACCACTATACCACCCACATCCAAACCACGCAACCTGCGAATTATCAGTGCTTCTTATCTGTTCACCACAAAAGTGATCATTTTCTGTTGACCACAAAACAGTTGACGTGTCAGAGAAGCTGACAAAACCATTGACAAGCACTTTGTGAGGTGTTGTACCGCAGAACAGCTGAACAATGCTTAACTAGTCACCATGACAACTACTTACCCGCCCGTAACTCACCAACAATTTGACGACTAACAGTTACAGTCAGCTCTTTCCTGTCCAGTCCGTCCACACTTTCGGAGTAGATCTTGTGCCACCTATCTGATTGTGTGCCACGCATGACCAATTAACTGCTATTTCAGACACCTGCAGACTTTAGCGAGATTTTAATGGGGGATATCCCACCTAAATCCCACCTAATTGATGGACAGACGATGTGTAATGCGTTTAATCGAATTCGCGTGTGTTTTCAGTTAACTTTGGTCGTATCTCATGCAGTAGATCATTAAGATGTAGTTTGTTTGCGGGATAAAGTGTCGACTGTTCCATCCTTGTACCTCGCTACCAGATGATGACTCGGTTTGTGATGCCCAGGTACGAAAGAGATGGTTTTGTTTAACGGGTACCAGTTACCATAGTTACACTACTAGTTACCATAGTTACACTACTAGTAACCATAGTTACGCTACTAGTTACCATAGTTACAAATGTAAACAGGTATTGCTCTTTTAGCCACTTAATTGCAAAATGAGGTCCAGATGTTGATAAACATGGTCTGTCAACGGATACTTTCATTAATTCCTCGATTTCATTGAAATTTATGAACATTTAGAAAGATCCAGATATTGCCAAACCTAATTTTTCTGTTCTAGAAGTTTCCACCCCCATGTTTAGAAATTAGTAAAAATCCTCGGTAAACTCCCCTCGCCCTGGAACTAGAATAACTTAGTCAACGGTTGCTTAGCAACCGTAAATTGACTGATGAGTCTTTTTAAATAAATGTAAACGAGTATGACACATGTCAATTGTACATGACATGTTTTCACTTAAATTTGGTCGTTACTCTATCGGACACATTTGCTACTGTTTCATCTTTGTGCCTCTAAATCAGACTCTTCAAACTCCGGTCACAAGGTAAAGAAACAACAGACTTATATCACTATAGCAACATCATGCTGTATAGTGTATAGCAACCGAACAGCACTGTTGTCAGCGGCTGCAGCCGTGGTTTTTTATGCTGTTATATGTTATCATTTAAACTTACATCTTAATATATATAATATATTTTATAATAGCGATAACTTCTTCTCGTGGCTAGATCTCACGATTTTACACCGTTAATATTGATCAACGACCCAAGTTTCAAAACTTTTATGCTCAAAATTTTCAGATGACTGATCGTTAAGTATTTTATAAAATTGATTGGTCACGTCGCCGATGATCTCCAGTATTTTTGGCAAATTGCCGACGACAAACTTTAGGCGGTGGACAACACTGAGAAGTAGTTAATGTGGTTTGTTCTATTTATATACTAACAGATGACATGGCTTGCTCTTATTACTTTATTACCACCACTTCTAGGTCGGAGTAACTAACTCCGATCTAGTAGGCCAGAAGTTCCCACCCCCCATCGTAGGCCTAAAAACTTTGAGTCGTAACGAAAATGTTTTTAAATGAATGTAATGGCAGTGCAATGACACACGTTAGGATATTTAGTATACTTTTTGGCGACAAACAGGCTTTGGTCATTCTCAAATTAGGCCTTGCAATAGCATGTTTGAAGAGCATGTTTGATTTCATGAGCTATATAAAATATCCTAATCTGAACTGGTTTTTAACAAAATCTTAACCGATTAGCAAAGAAAATAAGTGGATAATATAGTGGACTGCTCCTTCATAAAATTTGTTATAGACCTTTCAACCGTTTCAATGTATCGCGAACTGTATAATATACTAGTGTGACCGGTGACTTCACTATCACAGTTGAAATGCAAAAGTATAAACCCGCGGCCCGCCTATTATATTCGAAAACACGCATGACATGTTCGTAGTTAAAACGGCGCGAAAGTATGAACTCGCTCATTCCAAGGCAAACAACAGACCACAATTTAATTCTGAGTGCCCCTCACATATCTAATACTCTAATAGTAATACTTGATAGGCAATCTTGAGGTCTCCTGCCAAATTAGCTGATTATATAGCAAATCCGTTATGGGGGAAAGAGAGAGCGAGAGCGAGAATAGCGAGTACACACACACACTTTAGTATCACATTTGGGTCACAAAATGATCAATTAAATCACTTACCACCGACCGATTTAAAAAACCTGTATCATTTGGCTTCGTCAGAGTTTTCTCGGCACTATACCGAAAAAACCAGCCCCGTAACTCTTATCGTTCTCTTGATTAAGCCGTTACGAAATTACACGCGAACGAACGAACGAACGCACATCTTGAGATTATTAGTATAAATACTAACAGATAGCACTATAACAGGCCTTCTCTTTTTGCCATCAAGTATGAAAGCATTTTACGATCTTATAATTGCTTCTTCCCCTTTCCAGAAATTTACACCTTTAGATAAATTTTGCGTAGATTATAGTCGAGCAATTATTCTTTAATGGCAGTGCAATGACGTTAATCTGATAATTAATGACGTTTAATTCGTAGTTTCTGTATATTATGACGTTACAATTTCTTCTCATTCCACTTGCAACTCTTCTCATAGATTACCCTATCCTCTTTTTGGAGAGTGGCCAGACCCAGAGGCAGGCAGAGCTACTGCATCCTCGTATGTGCCACCCATAGAAGCCTCTATTAATTATTAACACATTCTTATCAATTAACATTTTGACTTTTGAGTTTTACCAGAAAAACTGCAGATTTTGATCTCAAATCAAAAAATAGAACTCAATAACAGTTCACAGGTTCACAATGACATCACTGCAGCTTGACAGATATAACTTAAAAGATGAGATGAGTATAACTATAACTTACATTTGTCTTAGATTCGGATGTTTCCGGTTCCGGAGCCCAATTTGTCCAATAAACGGAATTACGTTTACCACCTATAATCTTATAATGATGTTATTATCACTATTTCCTGGAGTAAACATGTTGGGTGAACTGGTTTGCTACTAGTACTCACGAGTACTGTATACAATTAACATAGTGGTTAAGCTTAATAATCATTTGTATAAAAATGTAAATACCATGGCCCATGAACTGGGTTTTTATGAGCTAATTGTTGCACTGTCGTAAAGGTTCCAAGTCAGCGCAACCCACTTCTGGGACAATAGTTAATTACACTGGACAGATAGTAATCAGGAAATAACGAAAAGTTTAGTATCGTTCATAATATTCGTTTGTAATTTGCATTGATTTTCACAGATTGTAACTCAAAAGTTTGGTGCTTGCATGAGCTGAGAGCTCCATAAATACATATATGTTCACTTTGATGATACCCGCACCTTCGGAAGTTTTGGAAATCTTGCAACTCATTGGCGAAGCTTACAGGTATTAAAGGAAATATCCGGCTTGGCATAGCTAGAATATTTAATGATGATCCGATCGCATAACTTAACTACCGTTCCGTCACTTAAATAATCTATTACCAATTAACATTTAAGGAATGGCCAGCAAGTATTAAGTAACCACCAACCAGTAAGTAACCAGCAAATAACCGGGTATTTTAAGAAAGTTGTCTGTATCCGGCAGTAGTTGAAGCAGAAATCAGCCATCTTATGCTGTAAATGTAGGTTTATAGGGAGTAAATGCGTAAGGTAGTGGTAAGGTAGAGCTATTGATACATTTCAGCCGCATTTTGCCAGTATCCTTAACTCAATGTCGATGAATTTTCTGAAATGATCCAAAACGTGTGTTGTGTATTGTGGGCCTCTAGTAAACCTCTAGTAAACCTCTAGTGAACCTCTAGTGGACCTCTATAGCCCCAAATATAGCCCCCCCCCTACTAAAGTACTATCGCTCATCTACCAATATCAGTTCTGAACGATTCTGAAGAATTTGTATCATATAAGTAAATAGCAATACAGTAAGCTGAACTGCTAATACACTTCTACCCAGTCATTAGTGTGATCAGGTTTTGTTGTTTGACTTGTTTACGAAACAAGGTAGAGTTATTATAGTGCTGCCGAAACAAGCGAAGGAGTAGTATTATTATGATTTTTTGTTGTTGTCAAAATATGAAATTTAAATCAACAAGTCAAAAGTCAAAACCCGCTGTTTCAAATTAAAGGATCAGTCTTCAAGCATTTCATGAAAGAAATAAACCACGACATATCCATGTGGTATAAGACAGACCCACGTGGTATACGAT